CTTTCACAAAGAGGTTGATTTCCAAGACCATGGTCCGCCCAGCAGCTCTGTCCTAATGTCCTTCCTAAACAGAGAGGCAAGACACAGAGTCCTTCCAGAGTGTCTTTGAAGCATCATGTCAGCAAGTGACCAGGGAGCACCTGGGTGCTTTAGGAGGGCAAGAACAACAAGGCCAGGACCTTTTCCTTGGTGCATTTGTTCTGCCTCCACCTTAGGTCATGTTTTCTCTTGTTTCCAGCAGTAAGCTCTGTAAGATGGGACATGCCTCTGACTTCATGTCTATACAAGTGCCAGGTGCACTGCTAGAAAAAATAATCTGTGCACAGGGGAAGTGCCAGCAAGACTGGCAGCATTCAGGAGGGTGAGCAGTGGGACTTTGTGCTGCATCTGGTGAGGGAATGGAGTGAGGTTTCATTCCAAACGAAACGTGAGACTGGCCTTACAAACTTCACGGATCACATCCTCTGTCTTGAGAAGTGCTGAGGGTCTCTACAGTGTTATGACTGGTTTGGCCAAGGAGCAGCTCATGGCCACAAAACTCAAAACTTGTTTAGCTGAGTTTGCTCTCTCTGATGCGAGTCAAAAAAATAGCAGAAAACAGCAAATATTTCCCCTCCTTCCAAACCTGCCAGGTGGAGTACTGCACTCAGCATTCATTCTGTGTAAACTTCTGCTTACACACACCAGCATGTTTCCTAACTCTGGCTCACAGAATTGGTCCTCTCAAGTTCAAATTACAGCACACTTGAAGGTCTTGTTAGATCTTATTATCCATAGGACCTTGTGAGAAACTTACAGCGTCCAAAACACATAGGGAATTAGAAAAGAAGATCAAACAGGCTTCTCTACAACTATTTTCAGCTTATATCCATAGAAATAGAGGTTGGATTGGGAAAAATGCACTCTTATTAGTTTAAATAATCACCATATAGTGATTACTGTAAAGTATGTGCTTTGTTTTAACTGGTCTGACTCTCATTTCCATAGAAACAGAGAGACAATAGCAACCCACTTGTTTGAACTGTCCTGTAAATTCTGTCTGTATCAGAATGCAGGAATATAAAGCTTTTAAAAATGTGGGAAAAGCCCGGGGTTTTGTTCTTAATTTTTTTTGTTTGTTTGTTTTTTGGTTTTTTTGGTTTTTTTTGTTTTTTTTTGGTGTTTTGTGGATTTTTTTGTTGTTTTTTTGTTTCATTTTGTTTTGTTTTGTTTTAATCCTCAAAAGGCAAAAGGAACATTAGGGAACTTCTTGGAAACTTTATTCTGGGAGAATACAATGAAAATGACAGCTATCATCTGTTAAAAAAATTATAGGGGAGAAAGCAGGAAGAAAAAGCAGTAGGGGGTATGGTGGGGAGAAGTGTACACACACGTGTGTAGGTCTGTGTCTGTGAAAAAGCATTTCTGAGATATTTTTCTGATAATTTTTGTTATTATACATCGAATCTAGAGGTTTTTTTCACTAGTAGAAAAACTTAGGCCATCGGACTCAACTGTCTACATTATTTCACATTCTTTTTTTCACAATCCCTTTCTTTTATTTCACATTGTTTACTTCTTAACTGGCAGCACTAATATTATTGGAATTTCTATACACTAAGCCATGATATGAGTTTTGAATTGGCAGTTTGGCTGAAGTTCAGGGGAAAATGAATAGTATGGAGAAAAAGAAGTTAAGTGCTCAGACTTTGGCTTTGCTTTTGCAAAGCTTCCTTGTAACAACACGATTCCTGCATTTCTGGCACTGTGAAATTATTTATTTTCTCCCAAAGTCCTAAAGGGAGAAACCGTCTGAAGCAGATGTGATCTCTCTCCTGGATTCTAATTTCTGGACTTACATGTGATCTTTTTCTTTGGGGAAAAAAAAGGAATCTAATTCCTGTTGCTTGTGAGGAAAGGACAAGGCTGAGATTCTGTAATTCTACATGCTGAACATGTCTGGATCAGTTACATTGTCTTCCAGCGACGGAGCATTGCCAGCTTGTAGGAGCTGCCTTCAAGGCTGCAGCAAAGAGACACGTTCTGCACATCACGATAAACACTTCCTCCTTTCCTGCCTTTGTGTTTTACACTGCTGTCTCCAAGTTTACATCACAGACAATAGCGGAGATTCCCAAGAATACTATTTTATATTTTTGGTTACTTGGTTTTAGGTTAATGTTGAATAGCAAAGTAGCCCCCATTCAGAGGGAAAATAAAATTTAAAAATATATATATTTATTAAAAAACATCAATGCCATTCTACGGCAAGCATGTCTTCAGTTCCTGTCAGCCACAATGTCCATTAAGTTTTCCTCCTCCATAGGAAGGCTTCCCTTGAAGGC